CATACCTGCACACCTGTTAGCATGTTCCACCATTCTTCGTTTTCCGAGGCTAGGAAGGATTCTTGCCTCGGTTCTGAAGGACCTGACTCGGAGGGAGTTGTCCTACGAAGGAAGCGTCCTCGACATTGAGAAACACCCACAGACACCCACTACGGCACGTAACACTAACAGTGTGTTACATATTTATGAGTTAAGAAGAAAAGCATGGCCAGACAAAAAATAAAGAGTTGTTGAACTTCCTGTGTGACAGACAGCGGGCAAATGTGCTGTCTACATTCCTCCTGCTGTTTCCTGTGAAACATTTTATCTTTACCCGCACATATGAATTCCGTCCAGACCAGAGACCACTGCTCTCTGGTTTTAAGCGGGTCAACTTGCCAGGAAATACCAGATGGCTTACAGTGTGCTGTTTCAGGATATTTCTCATTTCTTGGCTAGACTGGGGGATTGGTTGCTTATATGAAACAACACAGATATATAGTTCTGACACAGTTGGTGTTGACTCATGACCCTTTTGGGTTTCTAAAAGACTGTCTTTGAAAATAAAGTATTGTAATTGATTAATTATCGGAAAGTTTCCATTTCTTTTTTCTATTTGATTTATTTGATGCTTACCTAGACATGTACAACATTTTGCATGTAACTTATCTGCCTCCACACTGACTGTTTGATTTGAACAAATATATTTTAAGTGCTTTATCCCTACACAGTCTACATTTTCCCTGATACAGATCCATACCAAATTACATCGTTTTTTCCCCAGAATTTCCAGAAGATTTGTTAAATTATATACCAGCTACTATAGGACGTTTGAGCAATCGCTTGGATCCAGGGGCGCCGCTTGCGGACAGGATAGGCAAGCAACTGCTTGGGGCCTCGGACCAGAAGGGGGCCCCCAAAGAAGGTAGATTAAGAAGGTCCACAGCAACGACAACATGAAACACCCTTTAATTTACGACATGTCTGGAAACCCCCTCAAACGCTGCTTCTTATCTTAAGTTTCGTTGCCTTGCTCCGCTCCGGGGGCTGTCGGCTGTGCGTGGTGATGAAAAGCCGATTCGAGGGCCCCCCAGTGAATGTTTGCCTAGGGCCCCCACAGACTCTAGAATCGGCACTGCTTGAATCTATAAAAGTGTTAACACAAATTAAATAAAGTTCAATATAATAAAAACAAATAAAACCCCCCACCAATGAATAGTTTCAGTTAAGTATTCAATTGGCCCAAATGACAACACAACAACAATCCAGAAGACAAATTACTCCGTAAAACACACAGAAGAAAGATTACGTTTTTAAATATAGAAAAAAAGGGATTTAATGGGGGAGATATCGTTGTGTATTATTATTATATTTCCTCACTTAATTAACACTGTTTTAAGAAGTGTTACCTCTGTAACAATGTACATGTCTGATTTACTATTGGCATTATAAGTTAACAAGTGAATTACAGATGCGTCTTTTTTAAAATATCTATGCCAAACTATGATTCACTTATAATGCACATACTCTAGCATACATGTTTACACTTGTTAGTCATGGGCAAAGTACACTGGCTCAATTCTACTTGTTAATCTGTATATTAAAGTGCACCTATCATGCTATTTTTAGGCATATATTATGGGTCTCAGATATATAAAAATATATAAAAACATGTCTATCATGTGTTTTTCTCAAAATACAAATAGATCATGCATTTTAGACATCCCTCATACCCCTCTATTTTACTTCCTGTTTAGAG